ATAACACAATATCTACAAATTCGTGGTTAGTTTTTATGCAACTTACAATTTTCAAATGCTGTCATCTAACATGTGCTGCTACATATTATATTACATGTATGAATAGTATTGTTGATGATCATAATCTTTATTTCAGTTCAATTAATTTAAGTGGTATTGTTAATTTATATTTATTTTTGACAATGTATATATTTTGAATTTTAACATTCATACTTATGAAATATAAATTATAATACAGATAGTTATTACCTATATAGAGTAATTAAAATTTTAGCTTATATTATATAACCTTGTTGAATTAAAAAAAGTTCTATAATATTACCGTGTTATATTCAATAATTGGTGGCAGTAATTTTCATAAAATCGATGATTTTGAATTACATGATATTGTTTTTAAATTWAAATAAATATCAATATAAATTAATATTAGTGTTTACCTGCCGAATGACCATGTGGTTGTAGAATAGACGCCAGTCTTGGTTTATCTTCGTCCAGCATTACTTCAGTTTCCGACCAGATTACGTGGTATATGTCGCTTTGGCATTTCACCTTCAGCTTACCAGCAATTAAAACGTCGTATTCAATTGAYGAAACAGTCTTAAATAATTGACCAGATGGCCTAACTGACGGAATTCTGATTATGTGACCATTTCCCAGCTAAAACAAACATTTGCTTATGAATTTTCAACTCAACCTTAAATCAGATATAATTCTGACAACATGCATGCATTTTTTACTCGTATAAATCTAAATAATATATTTTAAATTAAATTCTGTGATACAATAAATTATAGAAAGTCTACATTTTTAAGATATTGCAGACATTATAATTCTTAGAGACATGATGAGATTCCTGAGTAGATATATGTATATAAATAATTGAATAATTTTGTACAGTACTTATTAGAAAGATTGATCAATATACTTCATCAAGATACGAATATCAACATTATAAACATAGCCAAAAGTCTTCATTAAAATGGTAARTTTAAATAGTATCAGAAAATTCTAAGGTCACTAAATAACAATAATATTTATCAACTCTATTTCAAACATCAGTCGTGATTATTTCTATTCAACGATCCATTTAATATTTTGTTACATAACTTATATTACGATCTCAAATCTGTGTTCTAAAAAAATATCATTTGACGAYATGACTGAATTAAGCAATCAAGCAAATTCACTTTCAAGTGTTCTAGAAAATTGTAATTATTATTAATACTACTTATATGTTATTCAAGAAGTTAAGYCTAATTTCTTTTTAAATTTACACGAAACATTTAAATACAAAATATTAAAAAATATTCAAAGAAGGAGAGATAGTTAAAATTTATATGAGCATATTATAAAGAACATAATTAAATGAGAATAATGTGATAGCTCTACATAGATAACCGTACAAAATCAAAATTTACAACATTTTATATGAAAATAAGAAAATTTAGTATACAAATTGTGTTGTGTTGATAAATTGTATTTATTAGTTTATGAATTCAATTAAAGAACAATAAAAAATACATTTACATTAAAACCAATAAAAAAGATGAATCACCAAAACCATTAAAAATGCTTTTAAAAATATATTTAATAATTTTAGAGTATATCAATATAATAACTCTGTGGTAGGTACAAATATTAGTTTTTAAATAAATACATTTCTTATAGACAACTTATGAAACTTATGAAACTATTAACTGAAAAATATAAAAAATTAAAAATGTTTTAAAATTAAACCCGACACCTATGTTTTATTATGTGAATTAAGTTGWATTACATTGGTATAAAAAGTGTAATGTAAAYTTAAAAACTCAATTTTTAAATTTGTTTTGAATTTTTATTGCGTTAAAATAATAATTAGTTATAATATCTGGTTTAATATACACAATATTAATTTTAGATAATATCTAATAGGTAATTAATCGATCTAGYAGTTTTCTGTTAAAAAAAATTAATCTATCAAAACAAGTTTCATTGGATACTATGATACTACTTACAGTGCTCAACAAGAAAACTTTTTGGGTTACCTTACACACGGCCATCTCAGAAAATGAAAAAGCGGACATACTGGCAAACRAGGCAATCACCTCGACATTATCCACATCTATTACTACCCTTCCATTCCAAGACATAAAAAGAAGTATAAACATATTCACTGCTAATATGTGGCAAACTCCCTGGGACAAAATACTAACCTCAAAAAAACTAAAATCAATAAAAAAGAATATTACTAAATGGTACACTCAGCACAATGTCTCTAGACATTCTGAAATAATTAATACAGGAAGAAGAATCGGACATAACAACCTCACCCTCATACACACCATAAAACACGATCAATATCTGTTTTCAATGCAACGAACCTCTCACAATAAGACACATAGTTCTAGATTGTCTACTATATGTCAACGTAAGAATCATCCTCAACCAACTTTCCCCAATGGAGGAAGCACTTGGAGAACACAACACCCACTTGATCCATAGTTTCTTGAAATCAATTGGCATCGACACAAAAATTTAAACATTAAGCTGAATTTATATATAAATGTTTTTAATTTAAGCATTAAAATGAACTCCTTTAGTGGTATAAGACTTTTCATTCCGTTACATGAATAGGTACTAAAAATTTAAACATTAAGCTAAATCTATACATACCAATTATAATGTAAATAYATAATACTGTATCATTTAATCTGTAATCATGTAACATACAATCATAACTAAAGTATCCATTAATGATAATGTATCTACAACCGTAGGCTAATGAATTAGCCGTTGAAGCCTTATTTTCAATAAAAAAATCGTAAAGTTATTTCCTTAATAACTGATAACTTACATTTTCTATCATTTTAGGTTGCGAGTGGAGCAATATATATGTAGTTATGAAATTATACATATATATTTATTTATTTATTTTTATGTCTGTAATCAACTTTAAAATCAGTAAATTTATTTTAATCTTCAACTAAACTGAAATTGGTGCTATTTGAAAGAAAGAAATTCTAATCATTTGATCATTTGAAAATTAGTTGGCAGAAAATATAACGAGAAAAGGGGAATAATTAAGCAACCTGTTTTCAACAAAAACTATTTATTTTTTTTTTGTTTTTTTTTTAAAGAAAATTAATCTTTGAACAAACTTGACATTTATTTTTTTTTTTAGACATGATGATATTTATTTAAAAATATTACTTATACTAAGGACAACTTRAGAGGAATCTTGTATTACATTTTCAAATGTTTAATACATATTATTTCACAAATGAGTATGTTTTTTAGAAAAATGTCGTCAATTTCAACTTCAGACGCTTTTAAATGGTGGCTATGTATTTTTGATATTTATTAGTTTCTGCAAGAATAACTTATGAGGAAAGTAATATACTTAAAACATATTTTTTGTATTGAAGATAGATTTTTACAGTAGCATCATAGACTCGATATATTGTATAATAAAAATTCATAAAACATTTTTATATGAATAAAACTAAATAATGTAATATAAGATATTRTTATGAGAAGTAAAAGACGCGGTATATTTAAAAATACGAAATGTTTTTCATTACCTTCATGAGAATTTGTTACAAAAAACATACACATTTCGTTTAAAAAAATTTACTAAGGTAAAATATTGAACATGAAAAATACTATGGAGTTGATTATTAAATATAATCATTGTAAAATGATATATATTATTTGGATAATATTAATATTTAATTTTTTATTTATGACTCGTATCTTTTTTTTGTTAAGATTTATATTTATATTTCATTGATATGCGTTGTGTTATAATTTATATAAAAAAAATGAATTAGTTTGTTGAACCTTGTATAAAATAGTATAGTTCAAACACAAATCACAATAGATTTAATGAAAAAGTTAAAATTAAAAGTTAACATTTGTTTTATCTGATTATAATATCAAACAGATTTAAGACCATTGGGTATTACACATTTTCACGGGGGGAAGAATAGGTTAAAAAGTACCCAATTTACATAAACGTAATAGGTTTTAATTAAAATATTATTCTTTTGAATACGTTTTGAAAAAACAATTAACGTACCAAAAAACGTCTGTAGTTTGTTTAATTATTTAACCATGCTGGAAGTAGTGAGATAAGATGACATTMYCTTATGCCTACCTAATAGAAGATATATATCATATAATAAATGTTGTAGTCTTAAATAAGTTATAAAATCGGACAATAACAACGAAAAAAAAAACTTGGTACCTATAAAGCTATTATTTTTTATTTTAAATTTTGTGTTTTTATAAAAGATTAAGTTTAAAAGATTTATAATATAATGTAGGGTGTTAAAGTATTTGACTCAGTAAAGGTATTATTTTTGAAACTTAATTTTCATTATTATAAAATGTTATTGTACTCACCCCTTTATCATTAATGAACCAAGTGATATTTGCAGGTGGATTTGAGGGCGGAGATGAACAATTTGCTTTCAACTTCTCACCAAGAGAATACTGTGGCTTTTCAAGATGTAACTCTGGTTTGCCATCCATTGTCCCTAAAATATAAATAATAATACTCTCGTGTTATTTTATATTTTGAATAATAAAACATGATAAATTTGCTAATAGTTGG